CACGCACACACACGCACACAGACACACACACACACACACACACACGCACACACACGCACACAGACGCACACACACACACACATGCACACACACACACACGCACACACAGACGCACACACACACAGACGCACACAAACACAGACACACACCCACCGTTACTGGACTGTCTTCAACATTTGCTTAATACTCTTATAATAATTTAGTTTCTGATAAAAACTAAATATTCTTCTATTTCTGTGTGCTTTTATAACCATAGGATCTATTTCCATGATACACCCTTCCCTGTCATACAAAGTTTCACACACTAACTGTGCCAAGCCAAAATTTAATGGTGCTGTAAAGGAAAATGTTGACCAAATCCAGTACAGAAAAATATTTACTTTAATTCAACTTTGACTTTGAATTGCTTTCTGGACAGGGAGTTTAAGGATGATTCTATTGAACAAGTGAACAAGAATGAACTGCCGCAAACAGATTTATTTTATATTATATATAATGTATATAATATATTTATCTTTTTATATATATATATATATATATATATATATATATATATACACACACACACACACACACACACACACACACGTTTCAGGAAGGACAGAACAGGTTCACTTGGCTGGGGATATCCTACATCCTACAAAGCAGATAGTGATCTAGGGTTAACAATATCAAATGCAGCAAATCACTCAGCAAAGTCTCCTCTACAATGTGCTGCAGCTCAACACCTTTTTGTCATTATTGTCTTGAAAAAACATGCCATGCAGAAAGTTAACTGAATACAGTACAATAAAACACTGCAGCAAACCAAGTTTGAGAAATAAAAACAATACTGAGGACTGAAATTTGGGGCAACACTATAGCCGTTTTATCCCGATGATGGATGAAAAGCAGCGTCACTCTATAAACAGCTTATGGACATGAGGGTGAATGATTACAGTAACTCGAGGGGGGTTAATGTCGTCCGTGAAGGGCAGGAGACCTCTTCAGCCCAGAAACAACATGGGACTGGCTGGAGATTCTGCTCCCCTGTAGAGAAGTCACCAGGGCCGTGATTTACTGTGCTGATGTACAGACTGGAATGACGCACAGGAGGAGGGCAACTGTCTGCCTCGTCCCAGTCACCAAGTTCACCAGTAGCGAGCAATGAAGGGAAATCTGTCAGACATATAAACACTCCACATCTTCCGCCCCAGCCCTGCTGCAAAAACACACACCTACACACACGTCATAAGCCAAGCAACTCAAACATTTCCTCTTTACACATCAGATCACCATGGGTCATTTATTCAGACAGAAGGGAGGGCAACTATACAGAGTGACAATGTTTTACGGTTACAGCTGTTATGGTCAGAAATGTTTTTAACACTGGATTAGCTTAAAATCAGTATGATATATATTATAATTTTTCTTTTATTTGTATACAATTTACAGTTATTTATATATAATATTTTCAATGCGGGTGTACTATTTTACTTGTTCTCTAATAACAATAATAATAATAATAATAACAATAATAAAAGCATCGCCACAAGTGGTGATTATCAGAGTCCAAGAAGTATGGCCTGAATAGATGCTTTCGTCACATTTAACATCAAATATTCCTCTACAATGCCTGTAAATGAATGGTGTGGGAGCACTTAAGATAAGATAAGATAAGATAAGATAAGATAAGATAATCGTTATTGTCATTGCCACTTGACAACGAAATTGCGAAAGTGCAGGCGACTCAATGTGAGGTATGAGTAATAAAAGAATATATTACAAAATATACAAATTGCACTAACTATACATATTGAACTGGAGAAATATATGAATTGCACTTGTGTATTTGAAAAATTAGCAGTTCTGTTTAGAGTTTAAGGCCATGATTGCTTTTGGATAAAAACTGTTCTTTACGGTTTGTCTTGGTTTTCATGGCTTTGTATGTTTTTCCTGATAGCAAAATCAGGGTGCTATAGGACCACCACAAGCCCAACCTGTGTCTGTTTTCTGGCCTGAGTAGCGAAAGGAACACGGCACGATTACACCAAATGTCATTATTATATACAAAGGTAATTATAGCTGAAATTTCATGGGCTGTCAGTCATGCCTGATGAGCAGATGAACTTTTATTATATGATTTGTTGGCACATCTGGCCATGAACAAAATACAAAAGTAACATTTTTTTCGTGCAATGTTTTCCGAGTTATGAGCTATTCTAGATTATATCGCCCCCTATTGGGCGATTTTCATGAACTTTGGAGATTCGTCTAGGAATGTCATACTAACTAGACAGAGAAAGTTTGGCGAGAATTGGATGTTCTGAAGAAGAATAACAACAAGAGAAAAATCCTAGCAAATACAATGGGGTTCCAGCACTGTGTGCTTGAACCCATAATAATAATAATACTCTACAATTTGTACAAAACAAATTGAATCTTCCATCTAGCAAATAGCTTGAAATGCTTTCTTGAGACAAGACAAAAAAAATAATTAAACAGAATTGCATTTGGGTTCTGTAGCCAAACAGGAGGTGCAAACTTCCACCCTGACAGTCTGTCCTCTTAGAGGGAGTTGAATTTATTGTTCCCCTTTGCCCAGCAGAGGTGATGTGAGAGGTGTTCTTGGTCGACTCCGTCCAGTGACGAGCATGCGGCTGGGTGGTGTGCAGATGACAAATCACTCTGCAGCATTCTGCAGGGATCCGGCACACTGTGGTCATGCCGATAGCCACACAGATAAAAAGCTCACCGCAGACTGTCTGTATTCAGACACGTACAAGTGTTTGCAAGTTACCAGCAAAGAAGAAATAATGAATCTCAGTGTCCCCAAGCACCTCGCATTTTTAGGGTTTAGAGTCACTGGTTTTTAAATTGCTTCTAATTTAAATGACTTTGCCATCACTTGTTCAAGCTAAAAGGTGCAGTAAAATGAACAAATAAAAAGCAGGACGTCGCCTATATAGCATATATGAAATATTGGTTTATTAGGCATGACAGATCAGTGGGTATCGCTGCTGCTTCGCATCGCCCAGGAAGGGGGTATCTTACCTCTCCTCTGACTCTGCAGTTTGCATGTTCTCTCCATGTTTCCTCCAGGAGGTTAATTGGCATCTCACAGTGTATGACTGGGAACTTATGAAAATATGTGCCCTGTGATGGACTGGCATCCCATCCAAGGTGTACTGTAGCCTCATGCCAGGCAACCCTGACCAGGCAGATGGATCAACCTACTGAGTGTCCCCAGACCTGCCAGCATGTCATTTCTGTAAGTAAGTACTTATCTAAGTATGTACAGTAAATACTTTCTCTTCACTTGCTTTCTAGGGATGCCACCATTAAATTTTGCAATATTTCTGAAACATCTTCCACTGCTCATATCTTTCATCAGTGAAACACTTCCAGTTTGTCTCATTTTAAAATGAATCATTGTACATTAAGATATAGCTACTGCATTTTCTGTGCTATTTTCATCATTTTAGCTTAGCTGTTTCAATTCTGATTAGTATGCTAATGCAAATTAAATGTTGACAAAATGCAAAACACAAATTCTGAAGTACAATTTTTTTAGGATGTGACCAGCTCTTTTCACACCTTCCCATTGCATGCCTAATCTACTCTTCCCAGAAGTAGAAGCAGCTGGATCTAGACACGTTCACCTCAAAGTACCTTTCAAGGCCACTCAGAACCACACAGAAAAAACAACAGCAGGGTATCATCAGAATTCATTCTCTTCTTCTTAAGCCAATTCTGTGTTGCTTTGGTCTTATGATTGACATCATTTTCTTACTATTTAAATCTTTTCAGACTTTTTCCTCCTGATCTTTGTTTCAGCCTTTCCATGTTAATGTTTACAGGCTTCCCTTCAAACTTACGGTTTTCTACAATGATGAAGAACACTTAAATTGAATACAGACACTGACAGTGTGTTTCATTCAAGCTAAGCTCTTCAAAATGAATTCACACAGGGGAATTTGTCACTGCTACGGCGTAATCTAAAGCTGTAATCGATCAAAGATCGTCAGGAAATAGACTCCACAAACAATTCTGGATGCAGTTAAATCTGTGTAGGACACCACACATATTTATCCTTTGATTTTTTTCATCTGCATGCCCATCACAAACACTGTTATAGACTTTTACAAAAAAGTATACAGTACAGGGAGATGACCGTGACCATCTCTAACACTTTTGATGGTGCTTAACCTCTCGCACAGAAGGCCAAAGTAAAACATCAAGCTGTCATTCTCCGTCTGCTACACAGCCCTTTCTAACAATTCCTGACAGCACACTTCTGAGCTTTTCCATTAATGAGATTCTTTTAACTGTTTAATCAATAATTGCAGATGAAAAATATATTACATACGGCCATAAGAAAGAGTGTAATATAAAGGTTTAAGATCAACGTTTTAGTAAACTAGTAACGAAAAAAAAATAACTATAATGCAACATTGTACAAAACCTGTGTCTCATAGTGAAACGTGGCACACAGATTTTTGGTGGAAGCAACAGGGAAGATTCATTTGAGTATAACCACAGTTTGATGTGTAAGTGAACAGAATGTGACAGAACGATTGATATA